CACACAGCTAGCTCCCCGTTTGGTTCACGCGCTGTGGAGATTTTTGTTGCGCTTAGCTGAGTAGCCTTTCTTCTTTGCTTCGCAAGGGCCCCCCCGAGCTTGTGTTATCCGCCGACTCTTGGGTTCGGGGATTCGCCACCCAGCATTCCCCCCTTTTGGGCTCAGAGGGCTCAGGGCGCCCTTAAGGAATCTCCTTCCGGAACTTTGGGGGGGGGGCCTTTGCTACAAATCTCAGCTCAGAAATTCCGTCCTGGCCCGGCCATACCACCTTCTAGGGCCCAGGGTTTAGGGTGCAGGGTTTTGGGGTTTTTTTCGGGGGTCAATTGGGGTTTAGGGTTTGCTGGGTAGAGGATCCCTTGTCGGCCTAGTATCTGGGTCCCAACGGCCAAACAACTCCGCACTTTTTGACCCCAAGGGCTTCCGAGACAATCCCGTCTGTTCGTTGAGGGTTTGCCACGCAGCTTTCATGGAGCGGTTAAGGTTTCACGTTCCGGGACGCGAAGACTTAGGGACAATGTGCAAACTTCCGGGAGCCCCAAACCCTCAACCCTAAACCCCAAACCCTCAACCCTAAACCCTAAACCCCAAACCCCAAACCCTAAACCCCAAACCCCAAACCCCAAACCCCAAACCCTGCAATGAGCCCTTGGCCCAGGATCACATCCACCGGGCCTCGCTCCTTGCAAGTCTGTTTTGTCGGCTTCTAGATTGAAGTGCCGGTTGTTGAACTAGGGTCTAAGGGTTTAGCTGTTGGGGTTTTAGGATGGGTTTTAGGATTTGCCGGTGCTTGGGGATTTCAGTACTTGGGGGGCGGCACATGGATTTCGAGACGATGTGTTTGCGGCGCAGCAGGTTTGAGAAGAAGGCACCCGAGAGTTTCGCAGCCTCTTTGAGGGAAGGTTGCGAGAGCTCACAAGGAATTCCACTTTAAGCTTCGCTTTTGGAGGCTTACAGCACGCGGGCACGCAGGGATCTTTGCCAAAAGGGTGACTTCTTCACTCCAGGGAAGGTGCCGAAGAACTGATCGGGATAGCTGAGTGGGGTGACTGATGATGTCCGAATCGCGGCAGAGTTTCTGTAGGGCTATTAAGTAGGATAACGATGGCGCTCCGGCCCTACCTTTTGAAGTCATCTATGAACCTTCTCATAAGTAGCCTTAGAGGGTTTCAGGGTTTCAAAGGTTTCTCAAAGGTTTTGGGTTCAGGGTTCTTATTGCAGAGTGCTTATTAAAGGCCTTCCTGCGGCATCCTTAGGAGAAAAAGCTTGAGGAGCCTTGATCCGCTGCAGCACGCGATCGACGCCCGTGTCTACCTCCCAGGCGTTCTGTGGCAGCTCTGAGGGAACTGATCACTTCACGAGTCAGAAGGCAGCTTGAATTGCCGGTATCCCCCAAAAGGACACTCCCGTGTATAGACTCAACACGTTCATACTTTGCACCACAGAAGCTGCAGTATAAGTAAGATAAGCCCTGCTTCTGAGTGTCCTCAACTTGAGAGTGGCAGGAAGCTCTGAGCAATCGTCCCTGCTACTCTCAAGCCTTACTCCCCGGAGTGGTAAAGAGAGCTGCCTCCTTATAAGTGAAGGTCACCGACGGGTCAAACAACTTCTCCTGCACAGGACAGCTTGGGCTTGGACTTGCCAGGGTATGGAGATTTGGGAGATTGGGCTTGGCGGGGGACGGCGCGTTTTGGGTCCAGCGTTGATGGTGGGGAGGTTCTCTAGCTGAAATACCGGGGAAAGGTCGAGCCCGGAGTCGAGCCCCCCCCCCCCCCCCCCGCGCAGAGCGCAGCCTCGTAGGTGCGAGTTGTCTTGTCGTCGTTCTCGACCTCTGGCTTTTTTTTAGGGTTTAGGGTTTAGGGTTTCAGGTTTGCGTCCACACAACGTCAGGATTATGCTGCATGCGCCAGCGTAGACGTGCATCGCCTTCTGCAGAGCACGCAACTCACAGAACCCGACGTACTGAGCAACCCATAACCCCACATCCCAAAGCAGAGCCCTGAAAAATCCCTCCCTCGCTCCAAAGAACCCCCGAAAAATCTGAGCCGGGCTGCGAGGCGGAGCCCTGCCCCCGAAGAAGTAAGGCCCAGGCCCCATACCAGCCAAAGAAAGGCATTCCAGCCGCCAGGGTCTCAGCAATTCGGCATATTTTAGCATTTGCACTCTTCCTCTCCTCAAGTCTTATTCAAGCTTAGGGCGTGGGAGTGGGGGTGCAATTCAACAATGCGACGGAAGCATTGAGATGCAACTTCCGATCGGTTCGGTCTGCCTTAAGATCTTTCTGCATGGGGTATCAAGAATGCTTTACCGGGGGCTTCTTTTAGGGTCGAGTTCTCCTTGCCCGGGATACTGACGACTCTCTAGACTACGACGAACCAGAGACGCTTCAATGCTTCTCGGACTTCCAGGCCTGGAAGGCTCGTTTGGGAGCAGGGGAAGAATTCTTGGGTCCAGAACTTCTCAATCTTGGCCTCTACGAAATCCGGAAGTCCGGGGAAATCTCTCTGCAGGAGCCTTCATGATGCTCGGCACGCCGTGGCCGTCATTGAACCTCAGATGCGGATCCTGCGGTTCCAGCCCAGACCCGCTATCTGGGAAAAAGCTTTGAGGTTTGCACAGGGTCGGCAGCGCCATCAAACGTTCGCAGCATTCCGAGACTTTGGGATCCGGGGCACTGCATGCCTTGAACGTGCCCGAGGCCCGAGGCCGAACCCATTCTGTTCTGAACTTACTTCGTTCAGCCCCAGCCCTAAATCCCTAAGCTCTAAACTTCAGGCCCCAAGCCCTACACCCTAAACCCTAAGCCCAAACTGTTCATCCCTTCAGTCGATCGCTTGCGAACTACTTGGGGGGGGGGCCGAAACCCTAAACCCTAAACCCTAAACCCTAAACCCTAAACCCTAAACCCTAAACCCTAAACCCTAAACCCTAAACCCTAAACCCCAAACCCTAAACCCTGAACCCTGAACCCTAAGACCAGGGCGGGATTGTGGGAATGAGATCCTGGCTTCCAGTCCCTTCCGCCATTGAGAAAGTCCCACTCGGCCTCTGGGGTGCTTCTGTCTCGGGTTTTAGGGTTTAGGGTTCAGGGTTCAGGGTTGAGGGTTCAGGGTTCAGGGTTTAGGGTTCAGGGTTCAGGGTTCAGGGTTCAGGGTTCAGGGTTCAGGGTTCAGGGTTGAGGGTTGAGGGTTGAGGGTTGAGGGTTTAGGGTTTAGGGTTTAGGGTTTAGGGTTTAGGGTTCAGGGTTCAGGGTTCAGGGTTTTGAGTTTGAAGGATTTTTGGGAGGGGGGGGGAGGGATGGGGGAGGGGAGTCGGGATTTGGGCCCTGTGGAGTTTTGATGTCTATTTTCTGTCAGGGGTGCTGTGCTCAGGCTGCGAAGAGCGATGCAACTGCACTCAGGGCTTCGCCGATTGCACTTGCAACGCGCGAAGTCTCTTCTCGCTGTCCGGCACAGGGTTTAGGGTTTTTAGGGGTTTTAGGGTTTTAGGGTTTTAGGGTTTTAGGGTTTTAGGGTTTTAGGGTTTTAGGGTTTTAGGGTTTTAGGGTTTTAGGGTTTTAAGGGTTTTAGGGTTTTAGGGTTTTAGGGTTTTAGGGTTTTAGGGTTTTAGGGTTTTAGGGTTTTAGGGTTTTAGGGTTTTAAGGGTTTTAGGGTTTTAGGGTTTTAGGGTTTTAGGGTTTTAGGGTTTTAGGGTTTTAGGGTTTTAGGGTTTTAGGGTTTTAGGGTTTTAGGGTTTTAGGGTTTTAGGGTTTTAGGGTTTAGGGATTGTAAACAAAGCAAAGCCCACTCATTCCATCACTTGCAGTGGAATCTGAGATCTCATCGAAGCCGAGGCTCCACAGCGGGAATCCTGGCCTTTAAACCTTTAAAACCCTTAAGCCCCCCTCAGAAAGATGAGAGAGCCCCCTTTGAACCCTAAACCCCCTCACCAAAAAAAATAAGAGAACCCCCTGAGAGTTGCTGCCTTCTTTTTTCAGTGTGAGAGAGAGTCTGCTCTCTCCGCGCCTGGTCGCCCAGAATTCTTCGAAGTGGCATGACCTCTCCATCACTTTTGTTGCATCGGGGAACACAGAGGAAAGCTGCGTCTTCGGAATTTGCGAGCAAAGGGGAGACGTGGGGACTCACTCCGGATGCACCTACTGTAGCTGTTAGACCACTTCAGCCCTAAACCCAACAGGGGATAAGTCAGCTCTGCTGGACCCTTCGCAGCTGCGATGAAAAGAGAAAGGAAAGGTCACCAGAGTTGAGCACAAAAGCACAAGCCCGCCTGCTGAAGCCTCTTCGTCCGAAACTCCCCCCCCCCCCCCCCCCCCCCACTCCACAAAAAGCTCGGGAATCCTCACTCACCCCTTATATTAAAAGTCCTTCATAGGGATTATAGTACCCCTTATGATAATTTTTTTTAAGGACTGTTAGTATAAGGGGGAACATCCCAAACTCACTCACAAAAGTGGAAGGAGCCTGGTACTCCATGATGTTCGTGTTGGACCCACCGCCGTGCAGTGCTAGGACCTTGCGCATGGCCCAGTTTCTTTGTGGGGTTAAGGGGCTCAGGGTTCGGGGATAGGGCTTAGGGTCTAGGGCAAGAATCCGGAACCCCGACGCTTCGCGCAGCAATTCGATGATGATGATGATGATGGTGATGAGGATAACGACTTTAAGAGCACAGATACAGAACATACTGTTCCTATTTGGCGGCGGGGGCGGGGGGCGAGGATTCCATTTTTATGTTTTTTATTATCTTGTTTGGTGTTGTTTGTTTGTTTTTTGTTTTCTGGCGGGGGGGGGGGGGGCGAGGAATAAACAGCGGACCACTGTAGGAGGGGACCTTTATCTTTATTTAGGAAGACCTCCACGTATGCGTTACTTTTGTAGTTGAAAACCTCTGAGTTCCCTCTCTGATTTCACCGACAACTGATCTTCTCTAGAACGTAAGCTTTCGCAGATTAAACATGAAACATAAAGTGGGGAGGTGGGGGGGGGCAGCTCCACCCCGTCCCTTTTGCAAACACAATGCTGGAGGCGTTTATATGTTTTTCTGTTCTGGTAGGTTTGCTTCGTTCCTGTCCTTATTGCTATCTTTGCGTAGTTATTCCTTTTGATTTGTCTGTCCTTCATGATTTAGTTCTGTTGCTTCTTCATCTTTGTTCGTTCTTTCCGTGCTTCTCTCACTGTGAATTTCTTTCACTGTTCTTCTTTTTGTTGCTTGTGTTTGCTCTTTCTTGCTCTTTCTAATCACATCCTTCTTTCTTCATAGGACCACCTCTAGGTTAATTGGAAAGATGTTAACAGGCGAAACCTTTCCCAAAGAACATAGATTGCTGACCAACATGCGAAAGAAGCGGTGCCAAAGTAGTTGGAGGGGTGCCTCATTTTTGTTGCAGATACTCTCAGTCCGATAATCTGACCATGAAAGCTTATCAAATAAACACCTAGTGTGATCACGACTACAACTTTCAGCAGGATATGGATATTTCTCCGAAAACGAGTCCCGCCCCCCCCCCCCCCCCCCCCCACAAAAACGCTCTTCCTTTTCTTAAAAAACTCCCAAGCAAGAAGGGCACGCCCATCTTCGGGAACCCGACCATGCTCCTATCATACGAATAAACCCCTTCACCCTACACCCTAAACCCCAAACCCTACACCCTAAACCCAAACCCGAAACCCCAAACCCCAAACAATGCTTGATAACATAATTTCCAGATTGGCCAGAAATGACGATGCGGTTTGACCCGCACTTACCTGCCAAAACTAACAGTATCACCTGACGCGCATTCCTGCGCAAGTAGCATTCTTGAGAGTGTACAAACCACTCCTGTTTCACATTCGACGTAACAGACTTCGGTCCGATTCAACCCCAAACCGCAAACCCCAAACCCCAAACCCAAAACCCCCAAACCCTAAACCCCAAACCCCCAAACCCGAAACCCCAAACCCCAAACCCTAAACCCTAAACCCTAAACCCTAAACCCTAAACCCTAAACCCTAAACCCTAAACCCTAAACCCTAAACCCTAAACCCTACCGGGAGCCCCCGGCCCGGATCTTCCGAGCCCCGATTCTGGGCGGCATCAGGCCCAGCGAGTCCAGCGATGCGGCGTAGCCGGAAGGCCTGTCCCCGACATCTTCGGGTTTAGGGTTTAGGGTTTAGGGTTTAGGGTTTAGGGTTTAGGGTTTAGGGTTTAGGGTTTAGGGTTTAGGGTTTCGGGTTTCGGGTTTAGGGTTTAGGGTTTAGGGTTTCGGGTTTAGGGTTTAGTGTTTAGGGTTTAGGGTGTCTAGGGTCTAGGGTCTCTAAGGGCTTTAGGGTCTCTAAAGGGACTTTAGGGTTCGGAGTTTTGGGGTTAGGGTTTAGGCCGTTAGGGTTTGTGTCGCTCTCTCTAAAGGGAGGGTTGGGCGTAGGGCCTCCGGGTTTTAGGGTTTGTGGGCCTCACGGTGTTAGGGTCTAAGGAAATTGACGGTTTTAGGGTTGTAGGGAATTCAGGGTTTTAGGGCTTCAGGGATTTAGGGTTTTAGGGGTCTTTGGGGTAGGGTTTAAGGGAATTTAGGGTTTTAGCGTTTCTGTAGGACTCTTCGGGCTCTACAATCGGGTCTATCAGATTGGTTATGAGGCGTGGAGGGTTCATCGATGGGGTTAATAGGGTTGTAACAGGGTTTTATTGGGGTTCCAACAGCGTTTTCATAGGGTTGCAGGAGGTTTAATAAGGTTTTCATAGGGTCTTCATAGGGTTTTAAATCGGGTTCAGGGCTGGGTTGGCGTTCAAGACGCCATGGAGCGCTTGAACATTGGCAAGGCCAGCCCAAGCACGTGGCTCCACTACTCTGCAAATGTTTCAAGAGTGCGACTCAGGGTGTATAGTTCATAGGGTTTATAGGGTTCATGGGGTTTCTGAAGTTTATAGGGTTTGTAGAGCTTGTGGGGGTTGTAGGTGTAAACAGGGCTTCAGTAAGGTTTTAATTTAGAGAGGGTCTTAATGCGTTTTCAAATAGGGTTGAGGGCTCAGGGTTCAGGGGTGTTTAGGCTTTAGGGTTGAAGGGCTTAACGCGCCCGCTCGGGTCTATCGAACTGTGTGCAGGAAGCGCCTAAACCATGGTTCAGGCTAAGGTGCTCATCTTTTAATGTACCACATTGGGAGGAGTCGGCAATTGGGATACAGGCGGTGCCTTGCGGCGGGCTCGGCAGCGCTTGCCGGCGCCTCACAGGGAGCAAAATGGGTTTGGGGTTTGGGGTTTGGGGTTTGGGGTTTGGGGTTTGGGGTTTGGGGTTTGGGGTTTGGGGTTTGGGGTTTGGGGTTTGGGGTTTGGGGTTCAAGGTTTAGGGTTTGGGGTTTGGGGTTTGGGGTTTGGGGTTTAGGGTTGAAGGTTTAGGGCTTACCTCAATGTCTTGGCTTGATGATGGGTTGCACTTGGAGGGGCCACGGGCAAAATGGAGATTCCCTTGGCCTGAAATTCTGCCAAGCGCTAGCTCGAACAGCATCGAAGGCACCACTTTCAACAGGAACATTCCCCCCCCCCCCCGCCCTCCACATCCCGCGAGCAGTCCAAGAGCATGTCTCCCCAACAAAAACTCCCCAGTCCAAATGCACCGGCCATAGGAGCACGCAGCACGATCTCAAGACCGCCACTTGAGCCAAAAACCCCAACCTCCAAACTTGAAAGCGGCACACAAGACTTGAGATTGCAAAATCCAACACCCACAGAGAGAGAGAGAGAGAGAGAGACACTTCTCGTGCGGGAAGCACGCGCCACCAAAAACCTGACCAAAAACCCCAACTTCCGCCCGAAAAGCCCAGGAAGCGGGAGTCCCCCGATAGAAAAGTCCCTTTTTTTTTTGGGGGGGGGGGGGGGGAAAGTTCCTGGAGAAAAGCTCCCGAAGGTAGCGAGCCTTGGTCTTCGTCTTCGCGTCCCTCTCCTCGAACTTCACTTCCAGCTCATCATAGTCGAACATGGCCCGAAATGCAAAGGCGCTCTGAAGCCGGGAGGCTTTGCAAGGCCCTAAACCCTAAACCCTAAACCCTAAACCCTAAACCCTAAACCCTAAACCCTAAACCCTAAACCCTAAACCCTAAACCCTAAACTCTAAACTCTAAACTCCCCCAACTCTAAAAGTCTCCCAAAGATGGCGGCTCCCCTCCTAATTACCTCAACGTCCGTGCGGAACATGAAAGTTTGCCAAGTGTGTTCTCAAGGCTTTGTTGCTGAGGCTTGAAGTGGAAAAAGCCGGCACAATCCCTCCAGTGTGACGTCTGAGAATCTGAGGTGACATGCGCACGCCGCGAGAATTTTCGGACAAACTGCATTTTTCGGTTGTCTTCTGCTGCGCGCATCCGGACCCGGAGACATTATTGCCATGAGAGCATTCCCGCGCAAAGGAGCCCGTAAAACAATCATGGAGGGCCCCTGAGATTAAGCTGCAGTCCACCAGTGCGGCCTTGCGTGTTTCCATCCTTTTTGTCTCCTCTCTCGGGGCCGTCCGCAGAATACCAGCTGCCCTCTTCACATTGGAAAGGGCCCTGGCCAGGGGGGAGCCTTCTACTTCCCTGATTTTCGGCTTACAGTTGTCCCATGCTGCGAGCTCCTGAGCCCTAGTGTCACCCTGAATCTCGCACAAGCCCGAAACCCAATGCCCTTCGATGGGATGCAATAATCAAAATCAAGTGGCTTGAGGGGACGTAGAGGGGAGCTAAGATGAAGCAAAGCCACGCGGTACCTTGACAGTTGGGACCTTCTGATTCTGATATGCCCCGCGTACTTCACCAACCTAATCCTCTTCAGACCAATAAGGGAAAATCCAAAATGCCCAAAGGCCTACCAACTGGGAGCAAAGGGGGTCCACCCTAGGAAGCCTGGACGCTGGGATAGCGGAGGTACACCTCCCCCTAAACCCCACCCTAAATTGTCAGAGCCCCTCCAAGCCCCAAAGCCCCTACCCTAGGCCCTAAGCCCTAAGCCCTAAACGGTAAACCCTAAACCCTGAACCCTAAACGGTAAACCCCAAACCCCAAACCCCAAACCCCAAACCCCAAAACCCAAACCCAAACCCCAAACCCCAAACCCCAAACCCTAAACCCTAAACCCTAAACCCTAAACCCTCCTGACAGGAGCCTGCAACCCCAGGGCGCGCACCTCGGGCCCGCGGAAGCCAAAGGGCACCGAGTCGGCATCCCGGCCCTCGCGGAGATGGACCTCCTTGTAGAAGTGGGGGTTTAGGGTTTGGGGTTTAGGGTTTAGGGTTTAGGGTTTAGGGTTTAGGGTTTAAGGTTTAGGGTTTAGGGTTTAGGGTTTAGGGTTTAGGGTTGAGGGTTTAGGGTTGAGGGTTGGGGGTTGAGGGTTGGGGGTTGAGGGTTGGGGGTTGGGGGTTGGGGGTTGAGGGTTGGGGGTTGAGGGTTGGGGGTTGGGGGTTGAGGGTTGGGGGTTGAGGGTTGAGGGTCGAGGGTCGAGGGTCGAGGGTTGAGGGTTGAGGGTTGAGGGTTTAGGCTTTGGTTTAAGGCTAAGGGTTGTCCTCTCATTCGAGGCTCCAAGAATAAGGACTATAGATTTCTTTGGGGAAGCTTTTTGTTCGAGGGGGCACGCCCTATTTCTTTTGTGGTGGAAGAGACTGGAAGAGTTAGGAGCGCGGAGCATATCACGGTATCTTGCAGCACGCTCAAAGGCATAACTTGGGTGAATCGACTTAGCGGCTTTTGGTCGTAGATTGTACGTCGTGGCGTATGAAAATAGTTTTTTTTGCCCCACCGGCTCGTTTTAAACTTGGGGTGAGTGGGGAGCTTAAAGGGGTAGGGTGGGGGGAAACCGGCATCCGACTGAGAGCTTCAGGCACATGGGTATTATCGTTGGGGGAGGGGGGCTCAGGGTCTAGCAGGTTTAGACGGTTTAGGGGTTTATTCATGCTGGGGCTTCAATAGGGCTTGGGGCTCCAGGGGGTTGAGGGTAGCGGGGAAAAGTGCATTTGGCACCTTCTCGGCGCGTTCTCGCTTTGGATGGACCTTTAGCCTGGAGATCCCCAGA